GATCAGACTGAAATAAGGTCCCCACACTGCAATCTTGCCTTAATTTCGCTAGAGATGACAGAAACAGAACAGCCGTCCCAGCCAGGGATTTGATTGGAAACCTAATCTTCGGCTGTGGTTAATGCTTTTCATTATTATGTTAATGTCACAAACAAAACTATTTAATTAGATTAATATTTTATTTATTTATAATTTTTAAATAAATTAACTATAATATTAAAAAAAATATTAATTCATATATTAATTTTAAAATGTTAAATAATAAATATGAATTATCAATTATTTTTAATAATTAAATTAAATAGAATTAAGTTGCTTAACAAAATGGGGAAAGGCTATTTCATCCCTAATCTACATTTCTTTTCCCTTTAAATATTTTTTATTAAGGTTTTTTTTTTCCCCATCATCCTTATATTTTTAAGAGTGTGTTAGTTATATTTTTTAATAGTTATTATAAAAAATAAAAGTTAATTTTAATTTTATAAACAGTAGAATTAAAAATCGCACACTTTACATTGATTTAAAAAATAAAGTTAGTTTTTGTGTTTTTTAATACAAATTAATACTAAAAGAATACAATTAATGTATCTTTAATGTATGCCTTTAGGTGCAGATTAGATAATAATTGAGAGATAATTTTATTGTATAACTTTTTGTATAATATTACATTTAATAATTGATTTTTTTTACTTTATTAATTATTATGGTGTTAATCCACCAATTTATTTAATGATATATAAAAATTATTTGTATATCATTACTCTTAATCTTGTATTTTTAATATCTTAGGAAGAAGTGTAAAAGTTTTTAGACACAATTTTTATATGTATTACTTATATAAATTTTAATTATTTATTTTTTAATACAAATTATTTAAATTTATCACAAATTTTTAAATAAAAATTACCTTTAAAAATTCAAATAAAAGATAATAAATAAATTTTAACAATTTATTGTAGAGAGGGGAATATTCAAGATTTTAAAGTAAATAACATATGTAAAATTTATGTATATTTACATGAATAAGTCTATTTTTAACTAATATTTTTGCTTGTATAGATTCTCCTCCTCAATGTTAGGTTTACTCATTTCTCTGTCACTTTTCTACCATCCCCAGAGTCAAATCAAAGATCAAAGAACTAAAACTTTCCTTTTCACCTACAGCCACACCCATGCTCCTTCAATCAATAATATTATGGGACTAGGAAAACTTTAACCGATAGAAAACTACAGGATAATATCTTCCTCTCTCTCCCCCTTCCCCCTTTCCTTCTTCTTTCTCTTATCCTCTTTCTGGGTCTTGGGGTTTTGCAGATTTAACTTCAAGCTGGGTGGCAGAGAGTCCAATCTCTACTTTCCCTGGTAAGATATAGCTTAGTAATTGCTTTCTCAACTTTTCCTTGTATGAATCTGTTGCTTTTGTGCAGTTTTTTAAAAAAATCTGTTGTCTTTATAGGGTTTTTCTTCTGGTTTGAGGTTTGGTGTGCTGGATTTTTTATCTCTCTGTTTTAGCTTTGGGTTCTGAGCTTATTATAGGATGTGGGTTTTGCATACTGATCGTAAAGTTTTGAGCTTTTTGTTGCAGTAGATCTAATAATTTTGATCTGGGTTTTCATCTTCATTTGAATCATTTCATTTTCCAGAAAATATAGAAAGTAGCCAGTCGAATTTTCTGGGAAAGTTTGTGGTTTGATTAGATCTGACTTTCTGTTGATGTTGCTTTGGGAAATTTGATTATGTTAGATACTTTATTTTCCTTAACAAACAGGGTTATTAATTTAATTTTGCGAGTCTCTACAAATGATTTGTTTTTCTTTATTGTTCATCTCTTTCTTTTTTGTTGATATATATGATGGCTATCATCTGATATTTCTTTTTGGGGTTGTTTGATGTTGGATTTCTTCTTTTCTGATCTTGCATGAAAGAGTTATGCTTTTGTTAAAAAAAATCACTACTTGAAGTATTTTTCATCCAGTTATTGGAATCTTTGAAGGTATTTGTCACCTTTAGTTGTTTGGTATTGGAATTAATCATGAATAGCGAGTTCGGTTTGGCATCAGTTCTGTGATTATACACGGCTTATCATTTACTAGGAAACTTTGTGGCTTTTATTAACAGGCTGCCCTTATTAACGATCATCATGGCTTTTACAGGTGAAAAAGGGCAAGTTTTTGCTATTGCAAGTTATATCTCACATTCAGCGCTCAGAGACAAGAGTACTGAATCATTTGGGAACTTGTAGTTAGTGGACTGAATCCCCCGTTGATTCTTTCCAAATCTAAGGCTAAATTTGGGCGTTTCTTTCTGGAACGATGATGTTCGACGAGGTGGGTCTTTGCGGTGATATGGACTTCTTCTCTGGTACTCTTGGGGATAAAGATTTTCCTGCCTCGCAGAATGAACCAGAGCCTATTGTGGAGGATGATTATACTGATGAAGAGATTGATGTGGATGAACTTGAGAGGAGGGTGTGGAGAGACAAGATGCGTTTGAAGAGGCTGAAGGAACAGAACAAGGGTAAGGAGGGGACTGACAATGCCAAACAGCGCCAATCACAAGAGCAGGCACGGAGGAAGAAGATGTCTAGGGCTCAGGATGGAATTTTGAAGTACATGCTGAAAATGATGGAAGTTTGCAAAGCTCAAGGATTTGTTTATGGGATTATTCCAGAAAAAGGAAAGCCAGTAACTGGAGCATCTGACAATCTGCGAGAATGGTGGAAGGACAAAGTCAGGTTTGATCGAAATGGTCCAGCAGCCATAGCCAAGTATCAAGCAGATAATTCAATCCCGGGCAAGAACGATGGGAGTAACACTATTGGGCCAACCCCTCACACCTTGCAAGAACTTCAAGATACAACTCTTGGTTCTCTCTTGTCAGCACTCATGCAGCATTGTGATCCACCTCAGAGGCGGTTTCCCTTGGAGAAGGGAGTTTCACCACCGTGGTGGCCTGATGGAAATGAGGAATGGTGGCCTCAGCTGGGTTTGCCCAAGGATCAAGGCCCTCCTCCTTACAAGAAACCTCATGACTTGAAGAAGGCCTGGAAAGTGGGTGTTCTGACAGCTGTGATTAAGCACATGTCACCTGATATTGCTAAGATTCGCAAGCTGGTAAGGCAGTCAAAGTGCTTGCAGGACAAGATGACAGCAAAGGAAAGTGCAACCTGGCTTGCCATAATTAATCAGGAGGAGGCCTTGGCTAGGGAGCTTTACCCTGATTCCTGCCCACCTTTGTCGTCAGCTGGAGGGAGTGGGTCATTGGTGATTAATGATTGCAGTGAGTATGATGTCGAAGGGGTTGAGGATGAGCCAAGCTTTGATGTGCAAGAGTGTAAACCTATGAATCTCAATTCGTCAAGCTTTGGGCTGGAGAGAATGAGGGCAGTTCAACAACCTTATGCCATTAAAGGAGAAATGGTTAATGTCGATTTCAGTCAGAAGAGGAAGCCGTCAAATGATCTGAACTTGATGGAACATAAGATCTATACATGTGAGTTCCTTCAGTGTCCATATAGTGAACTCCGCTTGGGTTTTCATGACAGGATTTCTAGGGACAATCATCAACTGAGTTGCCAATATAGGAGCTCATCTGCACAGTTTGGGGGGTCGAATTTTAACGTCAATGAAGTTAAACCAATCATCTTTCCTCAGTCCTATGTGCAACCCAAGCCAGCAGCACCAGCACCTGCATCTGCACCTGCACCTGCACCATCAGTTAGCTCAGTCCCACCTTGCTTTGATCTATCAGGACTTGGAGTGCCAGAAGATGGGCAGAAAATGATCAGTGAACTAATGTCAATCTATGACAGTAATTGTCAAGGCAACAGGAATTTAAATCCTGGTAACAACTCAGTTACAGAATGCCAAAATCTTCTTCAGCCAAAAATTCAACAACAGCAACAAGAAGACTTCTTTCATGGACAAGGAGCTGTGATGGAAGGAAACTTCTTCGAGGAATCCAGCATGCCTTCTAATAACAACCATCAAATGTTTTCACAAGGTGAAAGTCAGTTCGATAGGTTTAAGGTCTTGAATTCCCCATTTGAGACCAATCACAACAACAACAGCAGCAGCAGCAGCTTTCAAATGATGTTCGGTTCTCCCTTTGATTTGGCAGCATTTGATTACAAAGAAGATCTACAAGCAATTGGAATGGATACCATGCCAAAGCAGGATGTGTCAATCTGGTTCTAGTAACAAAGCAAGACATTCTTGGAGGGAACTCAATTCCTTCAGTTTGTTACACCCATGAGGGTGGTGAATCCAACCCATAAACTGCATATTAATAGGTATTGTATTTTTGTCATGTTTGTATCTGGTAGAATATACCCCATGTGCATGTCTGAACTGGGACTGGAATAAGAGAACACAAGAACTTGGTGAGAGTCCCAAGACCCCTCTACTGATTAATAGATATGACTGTCAAATGTGACATAAATAAGTTAGGTGTATGATCTTATCTCTTGTTTATTGTACTAATTTTTGTCTCGGCTTCTTCTCTCCCATTATGATGTTGTATTGATGTGGGTAGGGTCGGAGAATCTGGTTGTGGGTGTTGTGTCTTGTAATGGCTACATAGTGTTTTGTCCTTTAATGCAAATCCCATGTGCGTTTCAAGTCTTATTAAGACCCACAAGAGAATAAATGGGTGGTGATGCCAGAGTTTACTGATCCTTCATTTTCATTAGCATCTAAGTGGTGGGGTCTGTTCCAACAGTCGAAGGTTGGCTATGGATATGCCAATTTATTCAAACCTTTCAAAGGTTTTGTTCAATTGTTTGGAACTTATCATTTCATGGTCCCCCACCTGTTCGTCCTCATTGAAGAAAATTCAAATAAAAAAACTAAATGAGAGGATAAGGATCAAAAGTCCTCCAATTATTATAGAAGGCACGTGGAATTATAATAGCTTACCTTACGGGGGAGGTTTCTTTATGGAATGGTATTCCTTCATGGAAGGAAAGATGTAAATAATACCCTTTCCAACGGTATTAATGCATTTTCTTATTCAACTCTAAGTCTCTTAACTTGAAGAGGTTTTGTATACTCCATTAAAATGGTTTAATTTACATTTTTTACTAAAAAATTACAATTACATATCATAAATTATCACTTATTTTCTACAATATTTCTAGGTAAAATTAAGGTTGCGTGTAAAATTATTCTTCCATTGTATTTTATCACACAATATTTTATAAAGTATTAATTTATTATGATTAAATTAGTTTTAATTGATATTTTATATAATTTAGTAGTTATATTAATATATACAAAACATCTTTTAAATTAATTATTAAATAAAAATTATAAATTTTTTATAATAAAATATTAAAAAATTACAAACAAAACCAGAGGCGCACTGATAAATAAAGCCTTTTTTCAGAGAAAGCCTCATAAGAATGTTAATTTATTATAATTAAATTAATTTTAATTAATATTTTATATAATTTAGTAGTTATATTAATATATACAAAATATTTTTTAAAATTAATTATTAAATAAAAATTATAAATTTTTTATAATAAAATATTAAAAAATTACAAACAAAACCAGAGGCCAATAACATAATTTTTTATAGTAAAATATTAAAAAAGTCAAAGTGATAACATTTCACAAGAATTTCAAATATAATC